GAAATTGAAAATGTTATTAAAACTATGCCCACAGATAAAGCCCCTGGGCTAGATGGTTTTAACGGCCTATTCATGAAAAAGTGTTGGAGCATCATCTCTGATGATTTTTTTAAATTAGCAGATGATTTTTTTAACTTGAGAATCTCCATTCAGAATCTGAACAATTCTTATATCTGCTTGGTCCCAAAAAAGTCATCAAACGACTTCAGACCAATCTCTTTACAGAATATAAGCACAAAGTTTATAGCAAAAATCATGGCTGACAGACTTCAGGCAATCATCCTTGATCTTATCCATGAAAACCAATATGGTTTCATAAAGCACAGAACAATTCAAGATTGCTTGGCATGGACCTTTGAATATATCCACCAATGCCATCAGGGTAAGAGAGAGATTGTGATCCTTAAAATTGACTTTAAAAAAGCTTTTGATTCTTTGGAACATTAGCAATCCTGGAAATATTGAAAGCTAAAGGCTTCAACAACACTTGGATCAGATGGGTAACAGATATAATTTCAACTTCATCCACCTCTGTGCTACTCAATGGAGTTCCTGGAACAAGTTTTAACTGTCGTCGAGGTGTAAAGCAAGGGGAACCTCTCTCCCCTCTCCTCTTTGTTCTGGCAGCCGATCTGCTCCAATCCATGATTAACAAGGCTCATGATGTAGGTGTGCTATCTCAACCAATTCCTCAGCAAGATTCAAAGTTCCCAATAATCCAATATGTAGATGACACTCTGATCATTATGAAAGCTTGTCAAAAGGAAATCTTCAGCCTTAAGGGCATCCTTGAGTCTTTTGCAGTTTCTACTGGCCTGAGTATAAACTTTCACAAATCTTGCATGATCCCAATAAATATAGCAGAGGAGAAATCTGAAATCCCTGCTAAAACTTTCGGATGCACCATAGGAACCCTCCCATTCACTTATCGAGGTTTGCCTATAGGAACCACAAAGCCAAAAATTGTAGATTTTGCCCCTCTAATTGACAGAGTGGAAAGAAGATTGCCTGCAATCACTATGTTTCTAAACCAAGGACAGAGACTCACTTTGGTAAACTCAGTACTTTCTTCTCTGCCAACCTTCTACATGTGCACTCTCAAGCTACCAAAAAAGGTGATAGAACACATAGACAGGACAAGAAGACACTGCCTCTAAAGAAAGTCAAATGAGATGGATGCTAGGGCCGTTCCATTGGCAGCATGGGATAAAGTTTGCAAACCTAAACAAAAAGGGGTGCTTGGTATCATCAATTTAGAATTCCAAAATTCAGCCCTCTTGATGAAACATTTGGACAAATTCTACGACAAAAAAATGCTGCCTTAGGTTCGACTGATATGGAACTCATATTACAACAACAGTCCTTTGCCTCCCCATGCTATGCAGGAAAAAGTATCATTCCGGTGGAAGGATATTTTTCGTCTTACCCCTCTTTTCAGAGGCTTTAGCTCCATCCAAATCAATTCAGGAGACACAGATCTCCTTTGGAAGGATCCTTGGACAGATGTCATCCCTCAGATTGCCTTCCGTGATCTTCTCCTTCTCCTCAAATGAAGATGCATCAATTCAGATATTCGTTCAAAATGACCTCTCAGACAATTTCTTTCTTCCCCTCTCTCCACAAGCTCTGCATCAACTCAATGAGCTCTCAAACATTTTGGAGTCTATTGTTTTTTCATCACAAAGTGACTCTTGGAAGTATTCCTGGGGAGCAACATTCAAATCAAAGAAAGTCTATGACATGTTCTTTGCACACCTTTCACCTCATCCGACCATCACAACAATTTGGAAGAGTAAATGCACTATGAAAGTAAAAGCTTTTTTGTGGTTATTATTCATGGACAGACTCAACACAAGAGACATGCTTCAAAGGAGACAAATTAATGTTCAGGATGGCCAGTCCTGCAGAATGTGCAACGCAGGTGTCCTAGAAGACATGGTGCATCTGTTCTTTTCTTGCAGTTTTGCCCAATCATGCTGGAACTTCTTAGGTATATTCTGGGATGAAGATCAGGATTTTTTAGATATGATCGAGTTGGCGTTCAGACACTTCAATCAACCTTTCTCTGTGGAAGTGGTGGGCACTGCTTGTTGGCAAATATGGTGCAAACGGAATGCACTCGTTTTTAACAATATCCAAATATCTTTGCACAGGTGGAAAATAGATTTCAAGGAAGATTTCACTCTTCTTATGCATAGAGTGAAGGAGAGAGACAAACAAAAGTTTCAATCATGGCTAGACACATTGGTGCTTTAATCTTGCAACATACTTTCTTTTCTTTTGATTCCCTGTAAATAACTTTCCTTTATTTAATTTTATTACCACAGTAGGAGCCTCTCCTGCTGTTTTTCGTCAAAAAAAACTAACCTATGTCACATAATATAAGATATGGTCAAACTCAAACAGTCTTCAAAACTAATATTTGGTTTATAATTTCTTATATTTATAAGGTTTATATCAACCAAATTATAACCATATGAAAGTAAATTCAAATGTCGATCCAATTATATTACTTTCATCACATAAAATTTATGTTATATTATACTAATTGTTTATCAAATGTTTTAAAAATTGAATCTTGTTATTATATTATGAGATGGAGGGAGTATATAATTTAGAGTTTCAATTAGAGATTTTTTATGATTTAGTAATTTAAAAGGTCGTAAATAAAATATAAACCTGTACTCAGTTTAGAGTGTCTAATACATATTTTCCACGATGTAATAGTTTTAAAGTTTGGAATTAATAAGGACTAAAGTTATATTTGTTTTGAAGTCCCAAAAATAAGTTTTTACTGATTTAATAATAATGAAATCCGTAATTAATACATATTAGGTGTACTCGGTATGAATCCCTGTATGTTACAAATTGCTAATTACTAATTTCAAAATTTAGAATTCAATCAATAAATTTCACGGGCACAATTGTATAATTATAATTTCTGAACTATTATTTTAAGTAAAAAAAAATAAAGAATCCAAGTTTTTTTAATGATGTATTTCATTAAACATTGATTGTTAAGAGATCTAGATTATGATAATATATTATCAGGATTGTAAAAGCTACTTCTTCTATTTCATAATGTAAGTCTTTCTAGCATTGCCTATATTTATATAAATGTTAATGAATCTAGACATTGTGTGTCTACATTTATTAACATCTATATGAATATCTAGAAAGTTTTATATTATGAAATGGAGGGAGTATTGCGCATCATGCGTCTTTTTTTAAACCTCTACCGATCTATGTTTAACACGATGTCAAGGCCGCACACGTGGCAACCAACCAAGCAATAGAGTCATAAGCAAAGTATTATTTAACGGTGCAAGTACTTAAATAATATAATCTCACTTGAATCAGTGTGATGAATTATTAGTAAGTTGATCTTGATCTGGTGCTCGCGTGCAGTTGGGAAGAAGAAGCAAGAGGAAGAAAGAAGAGGGGTATGTTGTGATGACTAATGGTAGAGTTGACGGAATGCTAAAAACACTAACAGAGAAAGTTTTGGATGCAATTAAAGTGAACAAAGAATTTTCGGTGCTATATGTCTAAAATGGTGAACTTTCCATGCTATAGAACTAATTTTCACTAATATATAATAACTAGCTACTTAATGCCAGATTGAGGACAGCTTGTGTAGTGCCTTCTTAAAAACCCCTTCGCGATGTACTTGTATTAAGGAGAAGGAAACACACGGTACAAATAGCCTTTATGGCTAGTAATTACATGTAAAAAGAAAGGGGAAGGATAAGGACCATGAGGGTAGTGGACGGAGAGCGGGACGTCAAGCTTGCCCCATTTCTTCAAGGTGTTATGTTACATATTACTATCTATGTGCCGCCTTATTCATCTGGCATGAAGGACTTGATGCCTTTCGTGCTGCCTGCGCACCAAAACCAAATGTCATCGGTCACCCTTTCAATGATTTGTTGCAGCGGCATCTCTTTGTTCATGAATACTTGATTGTTCCTCTCCTTTCATATTTCCTATAAGACTAGAACAAGAATCGACTTAGACGCATCCTTTTTTTTTTCCATGGTTGTCACTTTGACGACACTGTTGGGTCCATCATTCCTTGAGGCATATTCTGTAGAACTAATTGTGCGGTTTTAGTTGAGGGTGGCGAATCCGTATTGCCACTGCATCCTAGATTCCACTACTAGAAAAATCATTTGTTGCCACGAAAAAAATCGTGGCAACAATACTAAAATTGTGGCAATAAATACATGTTGCTACAATTTTAAAATCGTTGCTAGCCGTGGTAATAAATAGCGTGGTAATAGGTTATTGCAACGATTTTTATTTAGTGGTAATAAATTTAGATGTTGCCATGGAATGGATGTGGCAAAAAAATCATATTGCAACACTTTACATCGTTGTAATAAAAATTATTGCCACCGCTCCATATGTGGCATTAGTTCTACGTACCAAATTAAAAGTTCAAATATTAATCTATCATCCTATCTATTTATATTTATTTCTATATACCATGTCTTGGCTAGGATTCGAACCCAAGACCTATCCTTCACGCATGATCTCCTTTACCAACTCACCTACGCATCAATTCTGTTGAAATATGCGTATCGTTCCATTTGAGCCTACCTAACTGAGATTTGAATCATAGATTTGAATATCTATAATATTTCAAATGAAAAAGTTATCAACTAGAAAATTATAGATCTCGTCGAGAGATACAATTTCCATATAAAATTTGTCTCAATCCGTATCTATATAAAATTATTTTCGCAGGCGCCGCTTAAGTGGTCCGACAGTGAACTTCACCCCGATTTGCATTTTTGTAGGCGGCTATTTGGCTATAAGGGTCATGTCCGCCTGCGAAAATAAATACCCAACGTCAGCGAAAATGCTTTTTCTTGTAGTGTCTATATGACCTCTCCGTTCAAGTTTAAAGACCGGTTATGTATTTTACTCATATTAAAATTACATGTGACATATAGTCGAACCATTAGAAATTTCACAAACAAAAACACACCATGAAATTGTCCATTGTCAGGTCGGCATGATAACGTACTACGTATCATACATATATATATCACCTTCATGCCAAGCACCCTTCCTTGATAATCATCCATTAGCACACAACTCAAACCTGCAGGTATATATATTTTGCTTACTTATTACCTTCATGGCTGATGCTCACCGATGCTGCGTGACTTTAGATACGCCGGCAAACCAAAAATGGGTATATATGACCAATATGCCAACGCCAACTGCATAATTATCCTTGCCAGTAACATCGCCGACAACCGATACCCCATTCTTGCGAGCAACTTCCATGCAAGAGCAAGGGTTTGCAGAACGTTAGCATGCCCGAAGCCCATCACGACAGAAGCAGTCAGGCACACAACGAGAGCAGTCCAGCGATCGACCGGAGCAACCACCGTATAGACGGCCAACGCAAACGAAACCGCCAAGGTTCTCAACGAGCATGCGATCAATTGCAGAGAGCCTCGGAAGTACATGCGACGGACGCTCATGTCCATGAATGGCATCGCCGAGTAGATGAGCCCAAATGTTGCGAGCGAGGAGTAGACGTAGGCGAACGCCATGGCGATGACGAACGCGTGGAAGGTGTAGCTCCCGGCGAGTGTCGGTGTGCCACTGTCGTCCTGACGGTAGCCTCCAGGTAGCGTGAAGGCCGCAGCAAACGTGACCGTGGCGATGAGCACCGACCCGACGATGGCAGCCTGCGCTAGCTTTGTCATCCTCTCGGATTCATTCTCAACATCTGCTTGAAAAGTGTAGTCCTTTTCAAAGCGGTCCCGGCGAATGTTACCGTGTTCGGCCTTGGCACATTTCAGTGTTTCGTACATCAAGTTCCGTGCAGTCTGCAGGATAAAAGAGATGAGAAAGAACAAGAGAATCTTCTAATTAACTAAATACTGATGATTTAAGTTTGGTGTTTAAAGGGAAACTTTGGAATAAGCTAGGTCTCATCAAAGTCCATTACCCATTTATAACTGAACTGCGGAGGAATCTTACTCTCCGCGAGATCTAGAGGAGTAAGCCCATTTTTGTTGGCTAAATTCAAGCAAACTTGCTGGTTCCCCATCAGCCAGCCGAAAATCCCAAGATCGCCTGCTTGGATGGCTAGGTGAAGAGCAGTGTTCCCATCGCTGTCTTGCATATTCAGCATCCATGACAACTTTGTGTTTCTGCAAGCAAACTTGACTACGTTGCACCTCTTCTTCTCCACAGCAACATGGAGGAAGGTCCTTCCCTTAGCGTCGGGCAAACCACCGCAATCGTGGCATTTCTCGAGTAGAATGGAGATGGCATTCAGGACACCCATCGAAGCAGCAATGTGTATGGGGAAAGATCCAGTTATATCAGGTTGAAACGCCACAGATTGTTTAACCTCCAACAGATCACATATTGGGACGTTGATCGTCCGGTAAAAGGGGAACCAACATATGTTGATAAATGAACGGTCTTCCACTGAGACAGCAAAATGAAGAGGTGTACTTCCATCTTTATCACCTCGCTCGGCAAGGACAGAAAACTTATTAGGCGTCTGTTGCACACTTTGCTCGGAATGGACTGGCGGGATGATCTCTTTGCACTCCCATCCCAGTAAATCTTTTGTGAACCCTGCGAGTGTGAGGCATCTTGGTCAAAATTTCAGCGAACTGATCTTGTAGTTTAAATGAAGGGTTAATGCGATTCATACCATTACAAGTTTACCGTATTGAAAAAAAAATAACATCATTATGGAGTATTACTATTCGTGTCACCTGCTACATAGCACTACAACTTATATCGTACCATTACCATCAAGCTTTCCGCTAACACCCATCCATGTCACCCTCTTCCATTGTTGCTTCCGATAAGGACCACCACCGGATGGCGGTGTCCAAGCCTCCCATACCTCGTACAGCACCCTCCCCGCCATCCACAGAGCGGAAAAAGGGGGGGAAAGTAAAGTGGGAATGCAGTGGCACGGTCTGGGCTGGCTCATCCACCTGCAGACTCGACGACAGCGAGGTCGGGGATGACTAAAGAGATAAGAGTCGAACTGCAATGAGCAGGGGTTCAAAATTTCGGTCATTTCGGACCTCCCCACCCCCACACCGCCGATATGATCTTATTTCAGCCGAAATTTTTAAATTTGTCCTTTTTTTGTTAATTTGGTAATAATTTGTTCAAAATTTCAGAAATTTGTGAATTTCGGTATATTGGCACCCTTCGATTGAAACGTCCAAACAAAAGATTAATCCCTGGCAATGAGAGGGACCTTCCAATCCTACCAAGGTGACGTGCAGGCAAGTATTTTCAATGGTGGTGAGACGTGCGGATTCAGCCACCCACAAGCAGTGGCAACAACAAGCCGCAAGAGCTTCTGATCTGGCGTGGACGACTGGGGAAGTGAGCTGCGGTCTCCAGATCTAGCGTCGCGGATGGAAACGATGAATCACTGTCTCAGATCAAGCGGTAGCGACAGACAGAGCGAGAGGAGATGGCGGGGAGACGCGCGAGGCCACTGCTCACTAGCCAGTGCTCACACTTCTCGTGGGTCGCCCTTCCCAGCTCAGCCTCTGCCATTGCCCCATGTGACGTCTGCCCGTCGTGCTACCGCTCAATGGTTGCATTGGAAGAGAGATGACGGGAATGCCCCTAAACTTGATGCCAAAGCAGCATAATTTAAAACTTTCAACTCAGATTTGAAAACTTCTAAGTCAAAGATTTGAAACATTCAACTTAGGGTTTCAAACTCTCAACTCAAATTTGAAAACATTCGAATCAAGATTTATTCAAGTTTTCAATTTTGAGTTATTTTTTTTATATTTGAGTTGATAGTTTTGAATTTTACAATGAAAGTTTAAAATTTGGGCTGAAAGATTTAAAGTCTAAAATACGTCCAAAAATTCATGAAAGAAACAATAAGATTGTGGCGCAGACGCGCCAGCCGTCGAGTCGGTGTCGAATAGGATCCTCTAGCGAGAAGACTTATAATAGTGAGAAAATTCCTTATATACCATTGAAAGTTCATCTGTTTCTCATATGCCATCGAAAATTTGGTATTCCCATATATGCCACTAAATAATATTTTTCTTTCCCCATATGCCATCCACGTTAATTTTTTTCTTTCATCATATGCCATCGACGTTATCTGATCATTTTAGTTGGCATGGAAAGTACAAAATTACCCTTAGAATTCTTTTCCGTTCTTTCTTATGCATTGTCTCTCCATTTTATCTTCCTTAATTGTTGGTGTTCGTCTACAACTCCACCTCTCTGGCTCAGGAAAAGGCAGCTGAATAGTCTAGAAATTTCTCAATTTTATCTTAGTTTTCTTACTACGAATATATAAAGCGGATGCATTTTTTTTTAATCAACTAATGTCTGTATCATGAAATTACTTACTTCCATGACAAGATGAAATTAAGCACGCAAATTTGAAGTTAAGTATACCTATTTTTTGCGACTAAATTAAGCACACGATCAGTTTGCTAAGCCGAGAGATTGTTTTGTATTTTTTTTTCTAAATTGTATGCTTACATCCAGTTAGATACATTAGACTATAACTAATTAATTAAATTACTGTTATTAGTGCCATTTAAAGAGATTATTAACAATTTCTTTCTATTATCTATAAATTAACTACAAAAATGGAAGAGAAGAAATAAACGTTGCATCCAGCCATTGGTTGTGTGTCGCATCAGTAATGATTGCTAAAGTTTTAGTTATAGTTTCAAGTGCAACTCATCCTGATTTGTGCTTCACATAGCAGGAAAGGGAGTCTATGGGCAATTTTGTTATTTTTCAAAAATGCTAACACTATTTCTACTCTTGGGTGAACGGAAATTCCATTTGATGACATATATGGGAATAGCTAATTTATAATGGTATATATAAAAACTTGTGAACTTTCGGTAGCATATAAGGATTTTGGTCTATACTTAAATGTCTATAATTAAAGACTGACAAGGTGAGACTGAACTTTTTTACACTTTGATCTTTTTTGAAAGCTTATTTTACGTATAGACTCCTAAACGAGCTTGTTCCATGAATATACTCTTTTCTCGATGCGTGATGCTGGAGCCAAGGTTCAACGTCTTGGTGTCAATGACACTGGCACCGATAACCTCAACTCGCTCCCTAGAAATCGAGATGTAGATACCTCAACTCGCTCCCTAGTAACCGAGATGTAGATATGTTGGTACCAAATAGACTAGCACCAAGAACCTATTTGTAAAATAAATTTTATAAAAAATTGTCAATTAATTTTTTTCTTACAAATAGGTCCTTAGCACCAAAGAGGCTAGCCTAAAGGCCAAGTTGTAAGAAAAGTATTTACTTCCTCCGTTACACAATATAAGTTATTCTAGCATTTCCCACATTCACATTGATGTTAATGAATCTATATATATATGTGTGTGTGTCTACATTCATTAACATCAATATGAATGTGGGAAATGCTAGAATGACTTATATTGTGAAACGGAGGGAGTACATTTCAACCTATTTTTTAAAATTTATTTCATAAATAGGTCCTCAACGCAAGTCTATTTGGTGCAGACACTGGTGGAGAAACCATCTTTGGTCGGTCGACCAGATTTTACAATAGTCCCGGTTGTATTAAAAACCGGGACTAAAAATATCTTTAGTCCTGGTTTAAAAGCTACAGGGTACTTTTTCAATCTTTAGTACCGGTTGGTGTTACCAACCAGGACTAAAGATCTATTTGTAGTCCCGGTTGATAACACCAACCGGGAAAAAAGATCGCCATACGCTTTACTCTCGGTTGGTGTTACCAACCGGGACTAAAGATCTATTTATAGTCCCGGGTTGTAAAACCAACCGGGAGTAAAGATCGACGCGGAGATCGGAGAGGTGTGCGCGATCGGATCAAGGCCGGTACCTCCTCCTCTCCTTTAACTCCTCTCCTCAACCTTGTCTCCTCCTCTCATCCTTATCTCTATTCCTCTCCTTCTCCTCTCCTCCTTCTCCTCTCCTCCTCTCTACTGCCAGGGTCGCGAGGGCGGCGGGTCGCGGAGGGCCGGCTGGCGCGGCGGCGGTGCGCCGCGAGGCAGCGCTTTCTCCCCTTTTTTTTTAAGAATCTGAGATTGTTCTGTGATGTATTTGATTGGATCTGAGATTGTTGTGTGATGTATTTGATTTGTGTGTGATGTGAATATGTGATGAATTTTGTAGAAGTTGTGATGTAATTTTTTTTTAAGATTTTGTGATGTATTTGAGTATTTGAGATGATCGATTTGTGGATTTGATGGCAATTTGAGGATGATTGATTTGGGATTTTGGGGACGGGATGGAGTGAAATCAATATATTTAAAAATAATGAAGAAAAGAAAATAATAAAAAGGAACCGGAAAGAGCAACCGGATTAGCCTCTTACACCAACCGGGACGAAAATGGATTTTTACCCCCGGTTTTTTCACCCGGGACTAAAGATAGCGATCTTTAGTCCCGGATTCGTAGTCCCGGTTTGAAAACCGGGACTATAGGGGGGTTATGAACCGGGAGTAATAACCCTTTCTCCACCAGTGAGACCCCCTTCACCACAGGAAGCGAGGGTGTCGGCGCCAGAGTGAACCTCGGCATCAATGACTCTGGCGCCGAGAAAAAATGGACTATTCCTCGAATAAGTTTTTATACATGTTTATTCGTAAAATAATTTTTGACCAAGGTCTAAAATGTAAAATATCAAAGGTGAGACACATACAATACCTTCGCTTCTTAGAACAGAGGCGTGCAGAACATTTTGTCCGTTTGGTCCGGAGTAGGATACAAAACCATTACTTTGTGTGTGTATCATCGTTGCAATGTCGTGATATCCTAGAGAGACGGCCAGATACAACGGGGAAGTGCCTTCCATCGGAACAAGAGCCAGTTTTGAATCCACGAGCATGAGCCATTCAACCATGTCCTTGTCAGCACGGCGAACCGCCTCGTGCAAAATCGTCTCTCCATTCTCGTTCTGCTTCCTAATATCTTCCGCATAACGACCCTCCTCGCCTACAAAATTAATAGGAGATGGTATAACACCATCTTTGCCTACAAAATCATACTGTCTCCATCACAAATTAGATGTCGTTTTAATTTTTTGTTTGTAGCGTTTGACCACTTATCCTTTTATTAAAAAATAGTGCAAATATAAAAAAAATAAGTCATAATAAAAGTACTTTTGGTAATAAAGCAAGCCATAAACAAAATAAATAATAATTTCTTAATTTTTTAAAAGACGAATGGCCAGATCGTTATAAACGAAAACTCAAAACGACGAGTATTTTAGAACGGAGGGAATATATAGTACGACGCATTACTGGCAGGGCGTGTGATGTGCGCCTCACCTCCAACGTTGCGGCCGATCAAGCCTTTGATCTCGTTGTACATCAAATTTGTGCACCGGAAGCAGATCGGACGAAGTGTTGCAGTTGTGACAGATTCTACAGGTGAAGAAGACTGACTGCTGACCTGTGGAGGAGCTTCTTGTTGGGCAATTATCCCATTATTCGGCAAGCCTCCCTCCGGACAAGATGGCGAATGGGGTGGTTTCTCTTTCAGCTGCTTGCAGTAGTCGCATGTGAAGTCCAGCAGATCCATGCCTACGGCATGCTCGCGATTTGGTGCGGACGACGATGGTCCAGCTGCTGGTGGATTGTTTCCGCTGGTGTTGCTTGAAGAAGCCATCGCCTCGCCCACGATGCTTTCTATCTCGTCAATAATGTCGCTGTAGTTTGTATGGCTCGATGGTCTGGATGAATAAATGTGATTGGGGGCTAGGCATATATAGACTTAGAGCAGATATAATAGGGTACATTTAACGGACAATAGTACTATTCATTTAAGACAGATCCTATATGGAAGAATGAGAAAACATGAGAGAGAGAGTACTAGTAACCGATGCTTAATCTATCGCCGGGCTGCAGCGGTAGGAAAAGCAGCATGATTAATAGTCATCCATGCATGCTGCAGCTACAAGCTTTTCCCACCATTTGCACGCTTCCTAGCTAATTACACCAATGAAAGAGTATAGATATTGTCAAAGGTGAGAAGTCTTATAATTTTAGGTTAATTGGATCCATGCCACTGTAAATTTGCACATTCAGAAAAATGAAATTACAATTCACTTTATCGGCTGGATGCCACTGAAAATTTCTAAAGTTGAATCTATGCCACTCCCGTCACTCTTTCCGTCCCACTCCCGTCACTCTTTCCGTCCTCCTCTCTCACGTCGCCATCCTCATTGTCATGTCGTTGTGTGCGGGCGGAGAGAAGGTGAGGTGACGACGGCGGGGGAGAGGCCGAGGCAGTGCCGGTGAGCAGCGAGAGCACGAGGCAGGGGACAGGCCGAGGCTGCGCCGACGAGCAACGGGAGGACGACGGCGGCTTCAGAACCAGAACCCGACGACGGCGGCTTCAGAACCAGAACCCGACGACGGCGGCAGCGAGGATCTTCTGCCAAATCCAGAACCCGAATACCTCCCCGTCCGCGCCCGTCCTCGTCGCCGGTAACTTCCTCGAGGACCTCCACAACCACGTCTCCCCACAGCAGGAGTGACTGCGGCGGTGGCGGAGGGGGCTTGGCCGGCGCCGCCGGCGAGCGCCTCGCTCACCGGCACCTGCTTCCACCAGTCCACCTCCGCCTGACCAGCCCCGCCCTTACCCTTGCTGCGCGGCGAGGCAGCCAGCGCCGCTGCCGCCACGCAAACCAGGAGCACCCTGGATCTGGACCTGCCGATGGCGAGCGACAAGAAGCGGCGGCCATCCACTAGCACCTTCTACCGCCGCCACTCGCCAACTCCGCGGGTGCACAAGATCCGACGGCAGTTGGCTACGAATCCAGCGCGGAGTACTCAACTTCCAGGCGCGAGCACACAAGGGCGCCGCCGTTCCTCCCAACCTGCTTGCGCTCCTTGCCGTGATGGAGAGATGGGGTTCTCCGTCGTAGGCGCGGCGCCTGTGCTGCTCCAGCCACCGCAGCCCTCACCGCCCCAGTGCCGCTGGACCAAGAACCCCGACCTCAACCGGACAGCATCTAGGCAAAGAGAAGAAGACAGGAGAAAGAAGGAAGAAACGGAAAACGAAGAAGGTGGATGGAAAATGTGACGGTAGTGGCTTAAATCTAATTTTGTAAAATTCCAATGGCATGATTGCAAATAAACGAATTGTAGCGGCATTTTTTCAAATATGAAAATTTGCAATAGCATAGATCCAATTAATCCTATATTTTTTGATGAGTTGGATTTTTAATAGCCGGTTGCTGGCTATACTACTAACCTCTTATATGTATTGCCATGTATCATGGGCACGCATACATTTGTCCATCAAGACCCAGTCTTGTTCATGGTAATCATGGTGTCTAGTTCCAGCTAGGCATATGAAACCGAGTCTTCTGTTTCCTGATTCCAGCAATGAACGATACTTTTGTGTTAGGACTTAGGAGTCTATAGTAAGATTGAAATGATCTGTTGATATTTTATTTTAAGTGAACCTCCATGATTGTTGCTGTACACTTGGGTGTAAATTATCGATATGTTCAAATAGTTCGTGAAATGTCAACCCCATCGAGCTGAGGCGTCCTTTAGTTTATAATTCATGATTGCTCTTAACCTCTACTCCACATTTCTTCTTTTTAGTTACTCCCTCCAGTTTTTTCATAGATGACGCCGTTGACTTTTTCTCACATGTTTGACCATTCGTCTTATTCAAAAAATTTACATAATTATAATTTGTTTTGTTACGAGTTATTTTATCACTCATAGTACTTTAAGTGTGATTTATATCTTATACATTTGCATAAAATTTTTGAATAAGACGAGTGGTCAAACATGTGAGAAAAAGTCAACGGTGTCATCTATTAAAAAATGGAGGTAGTATTATATAAGTTGGATGCTTTTACCTACTACCTCTATAAGGATATTTAAGGTTAAATACGGTTATTAAGAAAGTGAATAGAATTAAATAGAAAATTGTTTACACCCAAATTTGGCACCTATGGACGAAATAGGGAAAAATTGCTAAAGTTTGGAAAGTGCCAGGCTTCCTTCATAGGGCCGGTCAAACCACAGGTACGTGGGCGGTCTGACCGGCTAGTAGGACCGGTCTGACCGCAGGTGTGTGGGCGGTCAGACCGGTAGGGTCCGAGTCCGAGTCTGTTTTCGTCGGGTCTCGGGTTTTCTTGCTCGGGAAGGCATGTTTCGTGTTTCCTTTAGTTTCTATCCCGAGTTGGACATGGAGAAGGACCTGTAGAGGGCAAGACCAACCCCTATTTAAGGGACAAGACCGGTTCATTGTAAAACCTCCAAATACAATATATTTGAATCGTTCTTTTACTATGTTTTCTATTTTACCTTAGTTTAGTCCATCTTTGTCGGTTTGCGCCGTAAACCATCCACCGCCGCTGCGAGAGTGCGACACCTCTTTGTAAGTTTGTCCTGAAAACCTTCCGTTTTGCCCACGAGACGGGTAGTTATCCTCATATCGATCTAAATCGGCCTAGAGGCTGATTTTGATCTCTAAATCGGCTTTGCTAGCCGGTTTAGCTGTTTTTCTATAAAACCCATCTTGATTTGGCCGTCTGGCTAGATCGAGGTGGTTGGCGACTCCATATCACCGCAAGACGTTTAGGTGTTGCGATCGTGCTTGTCGACTTGTCACAAAAAGTTGCCAACACGATTTTTGGCAACTCCACTGGGGAAGAGATCCGTTCATCGTCAACTCGACTTCGACTTCGCCATGACGAAGCCACCATCCAAGACGGAGGTGGAGCCATCCAATGTGATACCGGTCACATTGGATGACTTCGAAGGAGAAGATCGTAAAGTTATGGAGGAGTACATCAATGAGCTCACACGGGAGGCGTTGATGAGAGCAAGCACTAGGACTCGTCAAGGCGTGACCATCAAGCCCGGGCCACGTCCCAAGCTCGCTCCCGACGTGATAAGCAATGATGAGGTATCACACTCTATCCAACAACAAATTGCATCTACAATAGATTCATCTGTGGTTGCTTTTAAAGATCAGTTAGATGCAATTTTTAAGGGTAAATTTGATGAGTTTTTAAGGATTAAATTCGGTTCTATTATGGATGATTACACATTAAAAGATAAAGCCTCTACCACTGCTAACCAACCTCCTATAGATCAAACGGGTAGTAAAACCGATGGAGCGGTGCACACGGCCGGTCAGACCGTGATATAGCCGTCGGTCCGACCGGCCAAACGGCCGGTCAGACCGGATATCACCCCGGCGGTCAGACCGGGTCTCAGGCCGGTCCGACCGCACATCTGGACGCCGGTCAGACCGGGCCCTGGGCCAATCAGACCGGCGCAATTGTTCTGATACAGGGAATAGATCCGATGACTAATGCTAGTTATTTGTATCACTTTAGAACATTTGATCCTCCTGTATCTACTGCTACAAGTAGTCCTCAAGTTCCCCCACATGTTCCTAATGCTTATAATGATGTTTGTAGGGGGTATCCTCCCGATACTAGACAAGGCCAATATAATCATATTGCGCCGCAAGCACAACCTATTAGGCCACCGAATCCACCACCGAATTAACATGGGCCTAATAATATGGAGGATATAATTAGTGGGATTATTAGGGATAAATTCGGGATTGAAACTAGGAATCGTGCTAAGGTTTGCCAAAAGCCATATCCTGATTATTATGATAATGTACCATATCCTCGTGGTTATAGAGTTCCCGAATTTACCAAATTCAGTGGTGAGGATAGTAGGACCACATGGGAGCATGTAAGTCAATTTTTAGCGCAATATGGTAAGGCTAATAGTGATACTTTTAAATTGCGCTTGTTTTCTTTATCTTTGTCCGGTACTGCTTTTACATGGTTTACTTCTTTACCGGCAAATTCAATTTTTACCTGGGCTCAATTAGAACAAAAATTTCATGATTATTTTCACACTAATGAAACTGAGCTTAGGTTGTCTGATTTAACATTGGCTAGGCATAAATGCAATGAATCTATTGCTGATTATATTGAAAGGTTTAGAGATATTAAAAGCCGATGTTTTAGTTTGAAAATAACTGATAAAAATTTGGCCAACATTGCATATGATGGATTGCTTGATTCTATTAAAGAGAAATTGAATGGCCAGATATTTCTTGATGTTGATCATGTGTTGCATGAAGCTCTGGCTCAGGAAAGCCGAGTGGATGACAATGGCTTAAATGCTACCTTAGATGATA